CTCAGGATCGGGAGCGCGGGCACGGGCTGCGCGGCGGGCGCGCTCGGGCCGGGGGGAGGAGGCCGGGAAGGCGGCCTTGTCCGGGGCGGTCTCGGCCGAGACAGGCAGCGTGTCGTTGAGTCGCTGTCGCTTCCCATACGCGACACAGCCGCACCCGGGCCTCGCTGACTTTGAGATAGGGCTAAAAGTTCCCGCACTGGCCTCGAACTGCGCCTCCTCCTGCCTCAGCCTCTCAGCCTCCCAGAGCGCCGGTTCCAGGCGTGCACCGCCGCGTCCCGCTGCACACTCCCGTGCCGTTTACAGTGTAATGTGAGATGGAGAGCAGGGCTGTGGCTGTCACTTGTTGGGTAGTCACGCTGTCGAGGCATTTTTTTAGCCACTACTCAGGGCGAGAAACCGCGTGCACAGGGCTCCCGCAGCCCCCTTGGATCGCTGCGTGACGGCGCATGCCTGTGATTCCAGCACTAGGGAGGCTGAGGCAGGAGGATCCCTGGGGGTTGGAGGCCAGCGTGAATTACATAACGGGACTTTCGAAAAAGGATCCCCCTCCCAGGGAATCCCTTTTAATTGCCACCCCATCTTCGGCCCCGCAGGTCACCTCTTTCCAGATTTCTACGGCCTCCTGCATGCTAGGAAGTAACCACTGAGTTACACCCCAACCCCTCTTTCTTTTCTCTCTCTTCTTTTCTTTCTTTCTCTTTCTCTCTCTTTCTTTCTTTTTCTCTCTCTTTCTCTGTCTCTTTTTCTTTCTTTCGTCCTTCCTCCCTTCCTTCCTTCCTTCTCTCTCTGTCTCTCTCTTTTTCTTTCTTTCTTTTTTGAGACAGTCCTATTTAGTTGAGTCTGGCCTTGAACTCACAGTGGAGCCCAGGCTGGCGTTGAACCCTTGGTGATCCTACCGCCTCATCCTCCCAAGTGCTAGGCCATCATGCCTGGCTACTTTCCTCGTTTCCAACATCACATGTCGGCCTCTGCCGGTGCACCCACGTGACGCTTATTCTTTGGCAACAAGCTTTCTTTAATCAGAATTTTCTGTGTGTGCGTGCAGTAGCTTCCGGTGAGAATTAGGTGGGAAAGGGAGGCGATGGCACAGACAGGAAGGGCGGAGGTTCGGCGGGGTGGGGCGTGTTGGGACCCAGAGGGCGGAGGGGTGTGGAGCTCCGAGAAAGCTGAGGACAGAGGGAGGTTCCCAGAGCCCTGGGCCGGGTAGCAGCGGAAGGAAGTGGCGGATGCAGGAGGGGCAGCAGAAGGCTCCTGCGGGCCTCTGGATCTCAGCAGAGGTGCAGCGCCAGTTGGGAGGGACGTTTTAGACGACCTTCAGCTTCCCCCATGCTCCCTGGTCGGGTGCGGAGGGCTTTCCTTCGTGTGGTAGGGAAGCCCCCAGAGGTGGCTGGGTGGCGGCCCTGAGGAGTCGGAGCCTTCAGCCTGCGAGCAGGCTGGTGTTTGCGTTGTCCTGATTTTGGTGAATGCATGCACACGATTTGCTTCCAAAATCAGGTTTAGAGCCAGGCTAGAAGTTACTCTTGTACTCCAGCACTTTAAAAACGTTCCTGTCAAGGGTTCAGTTGCTGGGTGGCCTACCGCTCGCCTGTCATTCCAGCACTCAGGAGGCTGAGGCAGGAGGATCTGTGCGAATTCAAGGCCAGCGTGGGCTACAAAGTGAGTTCAGGGCCAGGCTGAACTGCATGGCAAAACCCCTTCTCCATTCCTGTCAGGTAGTTTTGTCCTCAGTTTCTGCTTGAGCCGGAGGAACTTCTGTCTCGGGAGGGCACTCATTTTGTTTTGGGCAGTGTGAATTGTTAGGAACTTTCCTGGTACTGATGGATGATTGGTGTTAGGGAGCTGAGCCTGAGCGCCGCTGTCCACCCAAGCAGCCTCAGCCATGTCCTCCTGATACTCAGTCACAAACGTCTGGGACATCCTCAGCCCGGGAGCCACGCAGAATGGCCAGCCCTCCTGTCCGAAGGGCGTAGTCAGGCTAGGACTTTGACTTTATTCGCATTTCCGTGTTACTTGGGAAGTTGGGGTCAGCCCGTCGGGAGACTGTCTCTGGACTTCTCTCGTTGGCATGAGCCGGCCCTCCCAGATCTGCGCTCCTGGCACCCTGGATGAGCACAGGACAGGGCTGCCGCGGCCTTGAGCTCTCTGTGGGATTGTAACCGGGGGTGTGACTTGTGTGAGGGCTCGCAGGGAGGTGCTTCCTTGTGAGCATCTGGACCTGGACAGCTGCCTTCGCTCGGCACGTCGAGACTTAAGCCCCCGGGTAGGATGCTAGTTAAGCTGTGCTCTTCAGATCCAGGAGTTCACACCTGAAGTACAAATCTCAAACATGGCGTCTGAGCAGAGATGGCGTGTTGCAGAGCAGCCCTGGAACACATGGTGCGTGGTGCTGCGGAAAAGGGCTCTTAGCGTCAGCCTGAAGAAGACTCTCCTTAGGAGGGGGATTGCTGTGAGTTGAGGCCAGCCTGGGCCACGCAGTGAGACGCTGCCTCAGAAACAAAAGCCTGCCTCGGTTCCAATGGTCTGTGGCCCGGGTCACATCCGGAAGCCGCTGGAAAGTGGCTCAGTTGTAGTTTTTCCTCTCCTCTTGCCTCTGGTGTGGACGCTCCGGTGCAGTGAGACGGCCTGAGCTGCGGGTGGGAGCCGGGGCCGCAGGCCGGGCACGTGGAGCCGTGCAGTCATGCGGGGACAGGAAGGACGCAGCTGTTCCCTGTCCAGGTGCTAGACTCGCAGGCTCTCGTGTTATCTCCTCGCGTTTTTTTAAGAAAATTATTTATTTATTTATTTGGTTTGGAGGCAGGGTCTCACTTTGTAGTCCAGGCTGGCCTCGAACTCATGATGGTCCTCCTGCCTGAGCCTTCCAAGTGCTGGGAGTACAGGCATGCG